TACAAATCTATTTTTATTTTTATTTTTTTAAATATTTTTTTAGATGTTGATGGACCTTTATTTTATTCATTTATTTATATGTGGTGCTGAGAATCGAACCCAGGGCCTCACACATGCTAGGCAAGTGCTCTACCACCAAGCCACAACTCCAGCCCCTACAAATCTATTTTTAAATACTACAAATATCTACAAATTATTAGAAATAATATATTATAATTAATTATATTTTTTAAAAAAAATAGCACACAGTGATGGGATTTGTTGTTACATATTCATACATGAACACAATATAAAAATATGGTTTGGTGAATATCCTTCCCTAGCCCTTCCGGCTTCCTCCCTTTGTCCCACCCCTGGTCCCTTTCCTCTGCTGACCTCCCTTGGATTTTCACAATGGATAGGTCTTATATCAGTTATGCTGTTTCTTTTTCTTATTTTTTGAGAGCAGGGACCAAACCCTACGCCTTGCACCTGCTAGGCAAGCACTTTTCACACCCACTGCTCATCTACGCTTAATTTTTCCACATTATTTTATTGTGCATAATAGTACACAATGATAGGGACTAGGGTTGTAGCTCAGTGGTAGAGCACTTGCCTAGCCAGTGAGGCACTGGGTTTGATTCTCAGCACCACATATAAATAAATAAAATAAAGATCTATCAATAACTAAAAAATATTTTCAAAAACTAGCACACAGTGATGGGATTTATTGTTACATATTCATACATGCACACAATATAAAAATATAGTTTGGTGAATACCCTTCCCCAGCACTTCCCCCTCCCTCCCTTTCTCCCAGCTCTGGTCCCTTTCTCTACTGACCTCCCTTGGATTTTCATGAGATCCCTGTCCCCTCACTCACCCACCACTACCTATGGGTAACCAGCTTTCCATATGCTTTCTTTTCCTGTGTTCTCTCTAGCTTCCATATGTGAGAGAAAACAAGACCCCTGACCTTCTAAGTGTGACTTATTTCACTTGACATGATGGTCTGTAGTTCCACCCATTTTTATGCAAATGATACAATTTCATTTTTCTTCATGACTGACTAAAACTTCATTGTGTACCCATTCCACATGTTCTTCAGCCATGTTTTCATTTATGGACACTTTGGCTGGTTCTGTAGTTTGGCTATTGTGAATTGTGCTGCTGTAAACATAGGTGTGCAGGTATCTGTAGCATGATGACTTTAATTCTTTAGGATAAATACCAAGGAGAGGTACAGCTAGGAGTCTTTGGGAGAACCTCCATGGTGATTTCCGTAGTAGCTGTACTTTATTTACAATCCCACCAACAGTGTGAATGTGTTCCTTTTTTTTTTTTTTCTCCCCTTTTAGAGAGAGAGAGAGAGAGAGAGAGAGAGAAAATTTTAATATTTATTTTTTAGTTCTTTGTTTGTATGTGATGCTGAGGATCGAACCTGGGCCACAAGCATGCCAGGCAAGCATGCTACCGCTTGAGCTACATCCCCAGCCTATGTGTTCCTTTTCTTTACAAACACTCCAGCATTTATTATTGTTGGTTTTTTTTTTTTTTTTACTTTTATTTATTTTTATGTGGTGCTGAGGATCGAACCCAGGGTCTTGCACATGCGAGCTGAGCGCTCTACAGCTGAGCCATAACCCCAGCCCCTGTTGGCATTCTTGATGGCTGCCACTCTGACAGGTATAAAATGAAATTTTCATGTAGTTTTGATTTGCATTTCCCTAATTGCTAATGGTGAACTTTTTTTTTTTTTTTTTTTTTGTATGTGTATATGGTTCAGGGGATTGAACCTAGGGCCTTGAGCGCACAAGGGAAGCACTCTAGGGCTGGGGATGTGGCTCAAACGGTAGCGTGCTCTCCTGGCGTGCATGCACTGGGCACTGGGTTCGATCCTCAACACCACATAAAAATACAATATCTTTATATCCACCTAAAACTAAAAAATAAATATTAAAAAAAAGGGAAGCACTCTACCCTCTGAGCGATATCCCCAGCCCATGATGAACATTTTTTCATGTGTTTGATGATAATTTATATTTCTTTCTTTCTTTAAAGAGAGAGAAAGAGAATTTTAATATTTATTTTTTAGTTTTCGGCGGACACAACATCTTTGTTTGTATGTGGTGCTGAGGATCGAACCGGGGCTGCACACATGCCAGGTGAGCAAGCTACCACTTGAGCCATATCCCCAGCCCCTATATTTCTTTTTTAAGGAGTGTTTGTTTAATTCATTTGCCCACTTCTTAACTGGGTTATTTTATTTTATTTATTTTTTAATGTTAATTTTTTTTAGTTCTTTCTATATTCTAGATATTAATCTTTAGTCAGAAGAGTAGCTAGCAAAAATTTCTCTCCCATTCTGTATGCTCTCTCTTCACATACCTAATTGTTTCCTTTGCTGTGCAGAAGCTTTATAATTGGATGCCATCCCCTTTATTAACTCTTTGCATTATTTCCTGAACTTTAGGGGACCTATTGAGAAAGTCATTGTCTGTGCCTATGTACTGGAGTGTTGACCTTGTTTTGTTTCTAGGAGTTGTGTAATTTATGGTCTAATTCTGAGGTCTTTAACGCATTTTGAGTTGACTTTTGTGCTGGGTGAGAGAAAAGGGTCTGGACTCATTTTTCTACATATGGAAAACCAATTTTTCCATTCGCTGAATTTTTTGAGAACTGCCTTGCTGTTTTCCTAGCAGCTGAACCATTTTATACTCACTAGCAATGCCCAAGGGTCCCATTTTTCCATATTCTCATATTAATTCCTTTTTTAATTTGTTCTAATTAGTTATACAGGACAGTAGAATGCATTTTGACACATTGTACACAAATGGATCACAACTTCTCATTCCTCTGGCTGTGCATAGTGCAGAGTCACACCAGTAGTGTAATCATACATGTGTTAGGGTAATAATGTCCCTCTCATTCTACTCTCCCCTTCCCACAGCCCCACTACTCCCCTCTTCTCATATTATTTTCTTTCTTTCTTTTAATAATAGCCATCTAGGCCAGGCACAGTGGCGCATGCCTATAATCCCAGTGGCTCAGGAGGCGGAGGCAGGAGGATCATGAGTTCAAAGCCAGCCTCAGCAATGTAGTGCTTAGCATCTCAGTGCGACCCTGTCTCTAATAAAATACAAAATAAGGCTAGGGATGTGGCTCAGTGGTCAAATGCCCTTGAGTTCAATCCCCAGTACCCAAAAGAAAAAAAATAAATAAATAACCATTTGGAGCTGGAAGTATATAGTTCAGTGTTAGAGTGCACACTGATATGTGCAGGGCCTTGAATTCAAGTCTCCAAAAAGACGTGATCTGAAGGACCATCTCCATGACTGTCAGAGCTGTCTGTAAAATTAAACATTTAAAATAAATTATTTTTTCTTTGGTACTGGATATTGGAAACCTCAGGCGCTTACCACTAAGCCAATGCCCCAGATTTTTTTTTCCCATTTATTTTATTTGTTTATTTTTATATAGTACCAAGGATCAAGCCCAATGTCAAATCAGGCGAGATAGGGCAGCAGCCAAAGGAGGCAGATTTAAAAAGGCCCAGGAACGAGGCTTTATTGAGATGTCACTCCCAGGCAGAACTCCATCAGACCCACAGAATGGACAGGAGAAGGGTCTGAGGAGAAACCACGTGGAAGCTCGACCAGACTGGACTTTTATGGGGCTTACAGCAGGAAGGGAAGGGCTTGGGACAGGAAAAAGTGTTTTTAGAGTCCCTTGTCCCAAGGAGTTCGGGGAGCTGGCTGAACTCCAGGATTGGCCAGGGGGTCCTGCTGATTGGTAGGTGTTAGTAGGAGATCCCACGGATTGA